GGGAGAGCTCCTTGCTGAGCACATGGCTATGGCTGCTGCCCACATATATGGAGGATTCGGGGCAAGATGGAGGGCGTAGCCCTCGCCCTTTCAGAACCACACCAGCCTGGCTCCTATATTAGTTCTTCATTCAGTTCATCTGCTCAGTGGACTGGCACCATCAATAAACGTGTTCTCTCAAGTTTGTCAAGTACTAGTACCTGGCCCTCCGGACAGAATTTATTATTCAGGATCCTGCTTAATCCGAAGTGGCTGCTCCCACGGCCTAGGGGGCGACCAGACCTTCAGACCTTTTCCCACAGGAGAGGGGGGAGGGCACAGCAAAGGCGGGGCCCCTGAGCTCTACCTGCCAGACCATCCTCCCTCTCTCCAGACGGGACGCCCCTCTGCCCAAGGCCCGCGGTGATTAATTGCCCCTTTAATATCAGAGCCTCAGTCTTCAGGGACGGAGGCGTCACGTTCGCTCTTCTCCGTGAGAGAGCGGGGCCCCATTCATTCTCGTCCGGGCAGCATAATAAATAACCTGGCCCTGTTGGCAGGGATTTTATTAGAGACTGATGGGACATTTAACAATAACTGGGGGCCTGTGATTTATTAGGTGGGGCGGCCCGTGGCGTCTCTGACGGCTGGGGAACGTGGAATGTAATTGATAAAGCGGCTGTCAGCCGCCGGGAGATGCACTCAATAGAATATGCATTGGAGGGATTCTCGCTGGGCTGTCAGGAGGGTGTCTGCTCGTCATAGCGGCTCCGAGGAGGATGCTGTCTGCTGGATATCTGGGGGAGACACGAACGCCCGGGAGGGGACCCTGAAGGGGCCCGGGAGGGCTGCACCTGTCAGCTGCCCAGCCCGATGGGAGGAGGTGACACAAAGGAGCAAAAGGCAAAAAGCATCCCCCGCCCCCAGGACTCCCCTGGCCTTCGGGGGCCTTTGTCTCTCTCCAGTGAGCTGCCTGGGAACAGAGGTGCTGAGCACCTGCTTCCTGGAAGAGGAGGGACATGGGAGGCTGAACCGGCCAGAGAAGAGGTTTCTTCTGGAATTTGAAACCTCTGAACTCTGAGGTGTCTGCACCGAGACCCCCTGGCCTCCTCTCCAGCCTGACATTATACACACACCCCCACCCCGACCCCAGTGACCCTCCTGCCCCCCAAGGCACACACGCCGGTGACCCCACACCCACGCCGCCCCTTGAACCCAGGGGGCAGCTCGTCCGGCCACTGCTGATGTCCTGCCAAGAACGGAGACTCAGATGGATGGAGTCTCACCTGTTTTTGTTGCTGTTTCCCAGCTCTGGACCCCAGAATCCAGGCAGAGCACCTGGAAAAAAGCATATGGGTCCCTTACCCCCAGGGC